ATGAAATGGGTGGCTCTTAGAAGAGCCTTTGTGTTTGAGAAGCAGAGCGGACTCGGTTTATTTGGCTTTGGCGGGCTTCTCACTCTTCTTGGGCAGCAGCACGGCCTGGATGTTGGGCAGCACGCCGCCCTGAGCGATGGTCACTCGGCCCAGGAGTTTGTTCAGCTCCTCATCATTGCGCACCGCCAGCTGCAGGTGACGGGGAATGATGCGGGTCTTCTTGTTGTCTCTGGCGGCGTTTCCAGCCAACTCCAGGATCTCGGCGGTGAGATACTCGAGCACAGCCGCCAGATAGACGGGAGCTCCGGCACCGACGCGCTCTGCGTAGTTACCTTTGCGGAGAAGCCTGTGAACACGACCGACGGGGAACTGCAGTCCTGCTCTGGAGGAGCGAGTCTTGGCCTTCGCTCTCGCTTTACCACCGGTTTTGCCTCTGCCGCTCATCTTCGGCTGTAATTACTTCTCTGTTTGCAATACAGAAATAATAATTTCCTGAACGCTGCTATGCTGCTTTTAAACGAGCGTGCCAGTCGCCCATTGGTGTAGAGCGTTGTAAGATTTTAAACCAATCACTGAACTTCCCTCCAACACCAACCACCAAAGCCACGCCTCCTCAGCTGGCGCGCGGATTGTGCTGCATTTTAGACTAAACACATGACAGAAAAAAATTGTGATGGGGCGTTGAATGAGTTTTAAAAAATGTCGATGCAACAACAATGTTAATACAATATATATACATATACAGTAGCTAATTATATTTATATCAATGATCCATTAAAGCTGTTTATATTGATAAACGTGAATAACTAATTTTTTTAATGTAAAGTCAACATGTAAAACACTTCCAGCCGCGGTAAACTTATATACTCTTATAACAGTTTACTTCCACTAGAAGTCAAAATGCAGATTTGTTTTTTTTCGCTCTTTCTGTAGAGTTAGTGGGTGGCTCTGAAAAGAGCCGTTGGATAAGAAAATTATTTTTTTATTTCTTCTTGGGAACTGCCTTTTTAGGCTTGGCAGCTTTAGGCTTTGCCGCCTTGGGTTTGGCAGTCTTGGGCTTGGCCGCTTTAGGCTTTGCCGCCTTGGGTTTGGCAGTCTTGGCCTTTCTGGGGCTCTTGGCTGCTTTCTTAGGCGCCGCTGGCTTTGCTGTCTTGGGGCTCTTCGTCGCCTTCTTAGCGGCTGCGGGTTTCTTGGTCTTCTTGGGGCTCTTCGTCGTCTTCTTAGCGGCTACAGAGGATTTCTTGGCCTTCTTGGGCGATTTCTTGGCGGCGGGCTTCTTTGCAGCATCGGGTTTCTTGGCCGCGGGCTTCTTGGCTTTAGAAGCAGCTTTCTTCTTGGTCTCGGCTGGTTTCTTGCTGATCTTGAAGGAGCCGGAGGCGCCGGTCCCTTTGACTTGCAGCAGGGTTCCGCTTGAAGGAGCCGGAGGCGCCGGTCCCTTTGACCTGCAGCAGGGTGCCTTTAGTCACCAGGCTCTTGATGGCAAGCTTGACGCGGGAGTTGTTCTTCTCCACGTCGTAGCCGCCGGCGGCGAGAGCTTTCTTCAGGGCTGCGAGGGACACGCCGCTCCGCTCCTTGGACGCGGACACGGCTTTGACGATCAGCTCACCGACGCCTGGACCTGCTTTCTTGGCTTTGGCGGCGGACTTCTTCTTGGGCGCTTTGGCCGGCGGAGCGGCAGCAGATGGAGCGGTTTCTGCCATTTCTCTGAGCGGAGTTAGTCTTTCAAACACTGAGTTCAATGATGGTCGCTCGAGCAGCGCTGCGCTCTTAAACAACACATGAGAGCCTT